GTTTTGGAAAGCACCAAGAACACCTGAATAAGCGACAAAGCCTGGGTTCGCTCCGTGCTGGTGCATTCCAGAGGTGCTGACAGTGCCCAAATGCTGACAAAGGCTCGTCACTTTAGCCAGGGCTGAGTACATCACCCTGAGAGCTACAGTGGCCTGCAGACACCCAGAAGCCAGAGGAAAGAAGTAATGTCTAGTGCCTGCATTCCCTGCAAGGGAGCAAGGGCACCAGCCGTTTCACCCATGCCTGACGCGTGGCTCATCCTCTTGACGCTGGTGGCACAAATAAAGCTGTCACTTGCAGAAACACTGCACGCCAGCAGCGTGGAATAAGCCAGAAGCAGAGGCACCAGCTGAGCTGCCAACACATTTCACCAGTTTTCTGCCCACCAAGGCTGCTCACAAAGGCCACGCCAGGCTGTGGCAGAGAGACAAGGCTTCAGGCACCCCAGAGCAGACCACAAATCAGCCTGTTTTGAGCACGGCTGCTCTGCCTCCAGGCTTTGCCTCACCTTCTGGAAGACCATCACCCCCCACCCAGCTATAGGAAAACAGCCCTTCTGGCCGTGAGGGCATCACCTCCACCTGCGTGCTTCAGAGGCCCCAAGGGGAGGGACGACCTGCTGCAGCAGAGACCCAGCAGCCGGGGAAGCGGTTCCCAGGAGGCCCCCCTCAGCAGCACCACTCACCCGGTGTCCCCGAGGCTCGTCTGGCTCCTTCCACGGAGGGCAGAGCCACATGTCAGTGCAGTGCCGGTGCCAGCGCTGAGGTCAGGAGCACAGCTGCACCCCAGTGATGGATGGCACAAGATTAGCTTGTCTGAACAGGGAAATACATCACCGGAAAAATAGGAAACATTTGGGAAGTGAATGACGGGCGTGAGAGTGATGAATGGGAGCTGGAGGAGCCAGCAAAGATCAATGAATAGCTGATGAGCTGAGGAACGAGCCAGGGGAAGTTCACCGTGCAAATACAGAGGGAGCAGAATCCGTGGGGACATTGCTCGCTGTGGTGAGAGGTGGCAGTGAGCCCCAAACAGCCCTTACACCCACACCACAGTGAGGGGAAGCCAGGCACCGGGTCAGCTGGTCCTGGCTCTGCTCGGCATCGGTGTGAACAGAGGGCTGTGGAGAGCGGATGGCCCGCACCACAGCCTGCCAGGGCCCAAGGAGGGACCCCCTCGTGCTCTGCTCTGTCCCCTCCAAGTGACACCCTCCGCTCAGAGCAGTGCCTGTCAGCACTGCAGGGACGGGCGCGGAGGGGAGAGGGTCCTGCACAAGTAGACAAGAGGAAAGCGACCCCTCTCGTTTCCCTTGGCCTCTCTATCCTGCAGGATACCTGACTTGGAAAGATGAGGTAAGAACAAAGGCTCAGAGAAGGGGAAGCACCCAGAGACCCCTCATGCTCTGGGCTTTACAGCAGCAGCTCCACGGACTGGCAATTTCTGTGAAGACACCACTTTGGGGTCAGCACTGTGCATATTACAGTCCATTAGCAGCAACTGAGACAGCTGCTCATGAGCCATAAAGATACATAACCACTCCATGGCACTCAGACACTGGGGAAAACCATCCCAGCATGGGCTTTGCGATGACCAGGCACAAGCAGGAGAACAGCTCCACGTCCTGCTCGCCCCAACAGCCACTCGCCTACAGCGGGCAGCTCGACACCAAGCCGCCATCTGCACCACACCGAGCCCATGTCGCACGGCCCCGGTGCAGCACTCGCTTATTAATGCTAAAAGCAACTGCATGCACAGGTCTGTGGTCCCTGCGGTGGCCTAGCACTATCTAGTGGTGGGAGACACGGCTCCAGCAGCTCGGCCACCCTGGAAGCAGCAGGCTGGAGGTCCGGCTCAGCTCCCAGGGCTGCCCATGGAACAACCCGTAGAGTCGTTCAGAAGCATCATCTCCAGCAGTGAGAAGTGTCCTGGTGCAGTAATGTTTGGGAGCTCGTGTTTCTGGGCCTTCTGCACCAGAGGGCAGTTGAGTCGGGTGGGCTCAGGGGTGGGACTCCACCGAAAACCGGCCCTTGCGGTGCGGCTGGAACACACGCATCGCACAGGTGGTGTGGAGGCCCAGGCTGAGCCACACCACCGTGTTACCCGGTTAGACGCAGCTGTTGGACCTGAAGATCTCGACTCGTACACTACGCACGCCCTGCTCGTTGCTTCCAGATAGTTTTCATTTAGATGGTTCTGCCCTGCCTTCAGCTCCTTCACCTGCCAGCTCATAAATTAAAAAATGTCACAGCCAGTTTCTAGAGGCATCGAACTCACAGAGGGAGAACAGCGACAGCAAATTCACCGGTCTGCAGATTTCTGTCCAGTGTCCTTGGCACCAGACACAGAAAGAGAAAGCTCTTCCCACCTCCCTGGAGCATCCACCCTCCACAGCCTGACCTCTCTGAGTAGCCTGAAGACAGCTATTTGAAAGAAAATGACAGCAGCTACTGGTGGGATGATGGGCTGAATAGAGCAATTTAAAACTGTCCATCAAAAAGCAGCGGTATGTGGCCCCACTGCCTCCTTCCCTGCAGCTGGTTCTTGGTGGCTCTAGTGTGCTCAGGCACAAGGTCTGCCAGCCAGGAGGTCACAAACAGCAGCATCCTCGGCATAAGCAAATGAAATAAATTACTCTGAAAAAGACTATGAACACAGCACCGCTCGCTTCCTGAGCTGGCTCAGCACGACACTCACTGCACCCACAACCAGCAGCTGCGGAATCAGATTAAAAAGTGTCCTCATCACCAGCGAGTGGGAGGCAAAGGGGGGAACGAAGCTCACCGAGTCCCCGAAGAGGTACAAGCAGATGTGAGCTGACGAATAAACGCACAGGAACATCAGCCCTAAGCATGAATCAGGCCTCCAAAATTATCACACCGGTCTTAAAGAGATGTAAAAAATAAATAAGGGAAGCAGGAGAGGCTTTTCCTTGACCTATACTCTCCAAGCCGCTGAAGTACATTTGCTCCACAGTTTCTGATCCCTGCCTGCATTTGGGAGGTCCAGCTGCTTCCTTAGGAAGGCAAGGCTGCCTTTGTGTTCTGACCAATCCAGAAACAGGGGAAGGAAGAGTTGGATACTTCTCTCCGCTCCTTTGGGTACAGCATTTGTACAGTATTTACACACAGAGATGAAGTATTCCTAGAGCAAGTCCCACGTGTGCAGAGTTCAGGCCCAGCACTACCGGTGCCCTACGCCCAGATGAGACAGAGGACAAAGATGAGGTTCCTTGTTTTACCAAAAACTGCTCAGCTGAGCAGGGGGATGTTCCTTGCTGCTCTTCCAATGCTGGCTCTGTGCTGCCTGTAGCAGCCACGTATGGTGAAGTATGAAACATTGGTGTCCCCAGAAGAGACGAGCAGGTGTCACCACCAGGGCAGGGCTGGCACACAAGGAACAGGGAGAAGTTTGCCAAATCTCTTTCGGCAAACTCCAGTGGCACTAGTTACAGGGATCTGAGAGGCCAAACCAGACAGATACAAGGCAGTATAGCAGCACACAGGATCACACCAGGGCTGGCCAGGCACTTTCCTCGCTCAAGTCCCGGCACAACAGCCAGAACTGGGACGCTGTCCCAACACCCCTTTCCACTGGTGTCCTGCCAGAATCACTACTGCCAACCCAGCCCACAGCTAGTTCCTGCACACATCCAACCCAGCCAAAAACCACCTAAAGCTCTGAAAGGCAAACTCCTCGCTGTCTCTACAGCTCGCTGACACTTACCCACACTCCCCCCGCAGACCACGGCTCTGCACGGGTGGCTGTTGTGAGGAAATGCTGCCAGAAGTCTCCAGCACTCTGGGGCGGCATGAGCTTCAGCCAAGCGAAATAATGGCAGCCCAAAGCTGCTGGGGCACCTCGGAAGCCTGTTTCTGATTTGCAGACAATTTGTTCCCTCGACAGGTCCACCTCATTACCGGGCTCCCATTTAGCAGGAGCTTTATTGCCTGTAACATGTGTGCGTAACAGATTCACCCAATTAAAATGTTATTTCCTTTAACAGCTTGGATAGTCACATTTCAGTGTTCGCTGGAGCATGTTTTTCCTTCCTCAAATAACTTCAGTCCTTCATCAACCGCTCGCTCCAAGGGCTGCAACCGAGGCTGGACGGCAGCCCCTGCCCTCCCCCATCACCGGGTGCCTCTGCCCTCTCCCCGCCGCCGCCAGTCCGAGCTATGGGCCAGTCCTGCGAGGAGCATTGTTGGTCCCACGGGCGATCAGCCCCCAGCACCACCCGCACGGAGAGACCTGCCGCTGCCCCCCATAACGGTGGGGGACGCCCCCGCGACCCGCACGCCTGCTGCTATGCCTGGTACAGCAGCCCACGCTGCCAGGGCCAGGACTCCCAGGTCTCAGCTGGCTTCCCCCGCAGCCACCACCCCAAGCGTGTTTTCATTCTCTGCCCCACGAGGAAGCCAGGTCCTTCTGAGCAGCTCTTGTCTAGGGACCACCTGAACGCTGTTACTTCCCAAAAGCACTTACAGTTTCATCTCGGTAGTAGGCTTTGATTACACATAGAACAGAGAGAAACAGCCAGAGACCGCCACAGCCATAACAGCGAGAAAGCTCGAAAAACCTCTTTTCCATCTTTGCTTGTCTTCCAGTGAGACACAATAGAGGCAGACGTGGAAGTAGCGTGAAGGGGAGGGCGGATCAGACACTGTCTTTGTCATCCCGTCCTCAGAACAGTCCAACGTTCAAATTACTGTATTTCAAAGGCCTAATCGTGTTG